CACACACACACTGCTGCAGACACACACCGGGGCTGTGCTCACCTGTTTTCGGGGACACTTGGACGTCTTCTTTCTGCACTTGGGTGATAACAGAACTTTCCATCTGACAATCACGGAGCCCTCAAAATCCTCAAATCCTGTCCGCGAGCACCGGTGGGCATCCCTCATTGGGCTTTTGTTGACAAGCGGACTCAATTATTCACCGAGGTATCCCTTGTCATCCGTCCTCGGTGGGGTTTTAATCTCGTGTTTCTGGGTTTTCTTTATTCCCTCCAACCTCCGCCGCTCCTCTTCTTCCTCTTCTTCTCCCCGACGGTCCGCCTGGGGAGGGGGCAAGGCACTTAGGATATGTTGTTTTTGTTGTTTTTAAAAGAGGCTATTTGCGTCCGCGCTCTCTCTCGCTCTCTCTCGCTCTCTCTCTCTCTGTGTGTCCTTTTCTACCGATATTATTCCCGGTTAATATCGCCGAGCAGCCCCCCTCCTTCCTTCTCTCTTCCCGTCGCTGCGAAGTCTTCACTCTTGCAGCAACAACATGGAGAATCCAGGCGAGAGAAGGAAAACAACCGAGGAAATGGGGCAAGGGAGGGCGGTTTCAAGCCCCCCTTTACTACAGATAAACAACACCGCCGGGGAAAGGCGTCGGAGAGCGGCGAAAAACACCGAAAATAGCTCGCCGGGGCCGGTTTCGATGCGATAAAACGGATTCCCGTGCCCGGTTGGACGTAAAATAGGAGTTTTGTCGCTATCCGGGGCTTTGTTTTTCTACGGTTGGGACTCCGCGGGCGCCTTGAAACCGTCGCCGCTCGCTGATTGGACGCCCGGGAAGGACGAGGGGGCGTGGCCAAGGCATTCCTCCCCAGCGCCGCACGCAGCGCGCAGGACACATTCCACCGCTGCTCGTACAAACGATGAGCTCACGGTGTTTGTAGATTATTGGGGGGGGGGGTAAACAATAAACAAACAAATACTCAACAGGCAGACAATATGTTATGTATTCTTTTTTTTTTTCAACCTTTTTTTCCCTTTGCTGTCATTGAGTAAACTGTGTTTTATGTCATGTTATATTAGATGTAATAATAATAATAATGAGTTAAGAGCAACTGGTGAACTGTAATGGACACACATATTGGGCCCGATAACTGCAGGAAGTTTGTGTAAAATAAGTAATTTTGAGCAGGTTATTTCCTGTGATTTTTATATCAGAGATTAGTTCTTCTGATATTTTTCTCTAACTTTTAAACTAATTCTCCGTTTGTGTTATATTTAATTCATTTTTATACCAATGATACAGACTCATTCTTGGACACATGCATTGTTTTCTTCTCATTGTTCTATTAGCTCTTTGGTTGTTTGAACTTTTCTCATACAGGACGAGGTTCAGCTCTTCAAAGTTTACATCTTAAATAATCTAAACTTTAAAAATAACAATACACTTTATATTTGGTTTTCTTCACAGAAATGCTGAGATATAGACCAACTGTGTATATTTTTTAAGTTATCAAGAAGGCCTAACGAACGTCTGTGATGCTTTGGTGACCTCTACTGGGGTCTCCACCTCCAGGTTGGGAACCACTAACCTAGAACGTTATTTGTTTGTTTTCTGTCTTTATATTTGATTTTTTTTACAAATATATTCATATATTGTTTGTAGTCTGCATCTTCTGTGTTGTTTACTGTTACCTAACTTTAATAAATGTATCAAATGAGGTGCAGATTGGTGATATTAGTAAATTATACACCAAATGAATGCAAACATGAACTCCAGAAACTACTTTATGGTTTCATGTAATGTTTCCAGTTTCCAATTTCGTGTTTTTCCTGCTACCGTAGGGTTATTTGCAAACCTAAAATCTGCATTTTTTATGTGTATCATGAGGTCTTAAGGATTAATAAATATGATTAAAACACATGCAGCTCACAGTAGTGCAATAATGATGAAGTATAAATGTTTCTAATACTCATAGTGTAAGTAGTTAAACTAAAGGCAGAAGTACATGGTATCTGCCCCTGAGTAGTACTTTATGTGTGAGGGTAACAGAGGGCAGAGTGAAACCAATGACCCAGTCTCCTTTCATTTTCTCTCTGCTTTTGCTTCCCTTTACTGACACAGTAAACAGTAAAATGAAACTAACTTGTTTTGCCTGAAAACTGCTGGGGGACTTCTGTGTTGTAGCAATCACACAACATTTGTCTCTAACGCAATTATTCTTCTACCAGACAGCTGGTCATCCACATTACACGCCGGTTGCATCATATAAAAGCATCATAAGTCTTTAAATGCTTAAACTAGTCATTATTTAGGTCTAAATCCAGTAGTTAATCAGAAAAACACACACAAACAGTTGCTGTTTCTATTGTTTTTAATTCAAATAAGTTGCACTCAGCTGCAAATAAATCATCCGTTTTTTACAATCAGTTTTTCACTACACAGAGTATAGTGATTTTCTGAGCAACCAGAACTGAAACACATTGATTTTACCTTGTTCAAATAAACAGTTTGACATCATGTTAGGTAACGTGGTCGACCGGTGGGTCCCCAGATATTTATATTTACAGCTCGGAGCCTCTGCAGCGCCTCCTCATCCTCAGAGAGTTTAGAAAAACCTCAGAGTAAATCACAGTGATCGTCCTGCTGCAACGCACGCTGAGCAACTGGGAACTGGAACTCAACATATTTGCTTTATGTAAGCACCTCAAACACACACACATGTGAACAATGCAGGGAAGCTGTGTGCATACACGAGACCCATTACGGAGAGAAAACAATAAAATAAAACGTGTTAATAAAGGAATAACTGCACAGTTGAAACAGTCCGTCTCCCCGCTCCAAACACATGTGGGCCCATTACACCGCAGGCTCAGCCAGTGCCCACAGTGGCCACAATGCAAGACATAAACAAGAATGGGCCCGCTGTTAGCATTCCTGGTGTCGGACATTTTAAGGCAGCACTGACAGATCTGTGTAAAAATATATACAAAATAAGTACGGGCCGCACAGCTGGAAAATGTCATGTGGTTTACAGCTGATGCCACTGTTTACTAAATCAAAATTCATTATCTTTGCCTGCGCTCTGGTGCGTCTTGCCTTTCTTCTCCTGGTAATGTTGTATGTGCATTCCTCTGAGACAGACAGACAGACAGACAGAAAGAAAGAAAAGAGCAAAGGGGCCAACTGGTGTTGAGGCCCTGAGCCGAGTGTTGAGGGCGCTGCAGTTGTACCCCTGGAAAATCTGTCCAAAACATGTGACTTCAGACATCAGATACAAGTTAAAGCTCCATCCGTCTTTCAACTACAGCACAGGCACGTAAAAAACAACAACACGAGGTTAAAGGGGGGAAATAAATCACTTTGTCACAGTGAAAACCCGGAGAGTGAAAGTAAAGGAAGACATAAGGCTAAATGTGATTATTCTTAAATAATCCTGACGTACAGTTCCTGCAATCTCATGTTGTGGTTTATTGTGTTTAATCAGTGGAACTGTTTGTTTACAATTCAATAACGCCTTTAATGATTTTTATAATTACAGCTCATTAAATCAGTCCGTTCTGGTGAGCTGCAGTAATAAAACAACACGGTGCTTTCTGCTGTAACAAATGTCTCAAGGATATCTTCTGCAAAAAATAATAAATCAGACGGTTACAGGTCATCCACACGCACGTTACAGCAGATACACAAACACTGTTAGCGTTATAATGAGGACAAACGATCCTCATCAGGTTATACTGCAGAGTAAAAAAACACACAGTTGTGATGTTCTCACACACTCTCACACACACACACACACACACTGCATCCATCAGGCGCTGTGCTTCTATTTCTACAGTTCACACCTGGGAATCCACAGCGTCTTCTTACAGCCTCATGCACTCTGCCATGCATTAGCTACATCCAATCATGTTGATGACAAACTAGCTGTTGAAATGTGCTTGCAGCATCTGAGCCTCATGTAGGGCTGGGACTGTAGGGTCTACAATCATGTGATTTGCTGGAAGAGCCCCCCCCCTCCCGCTCTCTCTCCTCCCCTCCCCTCCCCTCCCCTCCCACCTTGCAGGCCTGCCCCTCAGTGGCCTCTGCTAGGCTATGTTTCCAGGAAAGGGGCCTACTGGACAGGCTGTGAGGCCTAGGCAGGGAGACATTGGCTCATTGAGAAAAACAAAAACAGAGAGGGGCGGTGGGAAGACTCTCGCTTCTTACATAACTCTCCCTCCATGACAGGGAGAGAAAAAAAAAGTTCCCCGCCACAATGCAAAGAAAAACCTGTCCATCCGCCTCTCCTCGGTTAGCAGAGGCTGAAGCACTTCAGGACAGGAATTCGAGCACTGAAACCAGCAGTGCTTGCTCGCAGTTACACAATAGTTGCAGCTCCTCAGACACACCACAGGCATGTCAGACATAAACGTACACACTGAGATGTCCCAGTGAAACCTCTTCCTATCTGTTTCATACCATAATGCTTGTTTCTGTGTGTGTGTGTGTGTGTGTGCAGCCGGGAGCAACACATGAAACATGATGTAACACACCGTGTCATTTAATGTGTTGTTGTTGTGTTGCATGGTTCTGGTGCTGTTACTGTATGTGAGGGGGTCTCCTGTGTGGCCTGCACTGCCTCCCTGTGGCCAACAGAGAGACTGCACAGGAGACGGCACAAACATTGAATAACACTTCACTTGGATAGTCCGCCTACAGATAGTTTGTAGAGAACCGGTTCTCAAACTGTGGTACGTGTGGCACTGGTGGTACATGTGCTGCCTCTAGTGGTTACACTGAGGAATCTCTCAATTATTATTTAAAAATGTCATTAAAAAACATATAACACTGTCAAAATAATACAAGATTTCTAATAAAACTACTTGAAATGTCATTTAAACGGTCAGATAGTGAGCGGAGGTTAAATTAATGGTTCATAAACGCAGCAATCGTGGCTCCAAACTGGGACTACTGGGAGGAGAAGTCTGGACCAGGAGGAACCCTTTAACACAACATTAGCTCTGGTTCTTGAACCGGTTCCGTTCAGGATTCAACAACAATAGATAATCTTATTATTAGGAATAAACCTGCCTGCTGTGTGAACAGTCTGCAGCTGATTAGGGTCGGCGTACGGTACTGTGTTTAACCTCAGTCATACTGGTGGTACTTGGAGACTGTTATAGAGTATTTGTAACATTTCAACAGCTCATCAGTTGAGATTCAACATGTTTTCTGATTTTACACACACAAACATGTTCATGAATTATCACAGATACTCTACAGACAGTCTGTTAAACATCAACAGACAAAGAAACTGTTGACATATCTATAAACCAGAGGTCTCCAACTGCCGGCCTGGGGGGCCATTTCCGGCCCTGCGTCCCCCCTCCTTCTGAAAGTGGCAGCAGGAGGCGGTGGAGTTTCAAACACTGTTGCTACTGCAGCTACAGCAGACGGGAGGCTCATGTCACATTAAAGGCACATGTTGATTTGAGCAAAAATGTAGGAAAAAATAGATTTTTATATACTTCAGAAGAAAAATATGAAAATAAATAATTCTAGGCCATATCGTCCATACTAGTTTTGTATAATCATTAATTAGAGTGTGACTTTTAAAAAAAGGGTCAGTCACAGCTGCTCCTTAAAACGTCCACTCAAACACACGTTGGATTCAGGAGTTGAACTCCAGCTGCTGCTCGAGGAGAACCGTCGTGTCGTTGGCTCTCCTGGTGGACGGATCGAGGCAGGACACTCCCAGAGCTATTAGACACAACCACACCTGCAGATCAGACAGACAGGTACATTAACAGTCAGCTGTATCACATACACAAGGTCACATATTCAGCATAAAGGTGCAGCATCGACGGTGAACTATGCTGCTGTGGGACGTGACTTTGTCTTTATTTAATAAATATATAAAGTTATACACAAAAGAAAATATAATCATAGGTAATATAATATTTAAAATAAATGTAATTACTCATAAACATTGAGAGAATATGTTGATACAACTCTTTAACGAGAGCACAAAGGGAGCTCCTTCTGTTTGGGGCCGACACTAACGATTCTTTTCCCTGCTGTTCATCTGCAGTTGGGTTATAACGATACGCTCGACTCACGATACGATTCTCTAAACAAAACCAGACTGAAGACAAATTATGACTGAAAAAGATTTTCTCAAACAAAAGTCTACAAAATATATTTTCTTTATCAGATTAGAGAATAATTTTCTTATTTCTGATGCAGAATATATGTTTCCTTTATTTGAAATTGAAGTCTTTGCGTCTTGATATCTCAATAAATATTTCATCTCACCAAGTGACTACCAGGCATGTAAACGCAGCAGCATGTAAACCTACCAGATATCCCACAAATGTCAGGTATGCTATGGAGAAGAACGTTGCCAGCACATACAGCCACACACTGTTGAGTGTTGTCACGTAGACCACAACGAAGTACATGTTGATGGCACACACGAGCAAGATCACCAGCCCTCCTCCGATCTTAGACACCCTGCAGGGAAACGAGAGTGAGCGCACAAGGAGGAACAACAACATTCAGGATTATCATCTGATTATGAGCTCGATAAACTTACAATCCGTTGGCAAACTCATTCATGAGAGATGGCAAACTGGTGAAGGTGAGGATGGGAATGAGGGCAAATGGCAACTGTGAGAGAAGGAAATGAATGAATGTGTTATATTAATATGTAGTTCGTACCATTTCATGAGAAATCAATGAAAAGGTAGAAAATACAGTAAATTCTCCAACAGTGGCCGAGGCACCCAGACCTTTATTTAGTCTTTATTTCTAACTTCACCTGTTATCTGGTTGATACAAACTCAAAAACCTTCCTCTATTGTTTTGATGAATTCAGTATAATGTCCACTTCCACAGCACTAGTTCAATTCTTATTTCCAGGTAATTATACACTAATGAAAACATACATATATTAATAGTATATAATAGATCCTAAATCTTACACACTGGACCTTTAAGTAACATTTTAAAAGCAGGACTTTTTCTTGTATTTCTACTCTTTACTTTTACTGAAATACAATATCTGAGTACTTCTTCTGCTCTGCTGATTTTACCATGTGAGCTGATGTAATCGTGTTTTTGTAGCCAGCCTTTATTCGTGCTGGCCACACCCCCTGTCTGTTATTTGAATATATATTAATTATTTATTGTCCCCTTATTGTTTTTATTTTTATTATAATCATTCACCTTTTTTCCTTGGATAGTGTCCTTTTACTTGTAATTTTTTTATGTACCAATGTGTTTTCCATCCAGTGCACCGACTCTGTGTCAGATGCATTTTATAGAATCTATTCTATTAAATCGGTTCAGGTTTAGTTTTTGATTATTTTAAGTAACAAAAGTTATAAACAACAAATTATTCATGAACCAGAAGAAAAGATAGACAAAGACATTTAAGAACTAAGCTAGCTAAGCTTACTTTATGTTTTGTGCATTGCTCTAAGTTAATAAAAAAGTACATTATTAGACATTAATATTAAGAATTTGGTTGTTTTGCCAAATTGGAACTGGTTCTAAAATGAAGCCACTGAAATCCAATATAACTTATATTTTCCTTTTTGTATTGCAGGTTGTAAGACCTGAACAGCACTTCACAGATGAGATAAAGGTTGGATGAAGCTTCCAGTGAACCAGGTGTCACCCCTGCCTGACCTGCATGCTCTGCAGCACATTGAGGAAGTCGTTCATGCCCGTCAGGTGCCGCACGTCCTGGAAGATGGCAACCAGCAGGGTGGGAGTGATGGCGAGGGAGCGGGTCAGCAACACTCGAGCAAAGCGCGACCAGCGCAGGTTCAAGAAACCCTGAGGGCAGAAAAACACAATAAAAGCTGCGTTTGTAGACGACTTTACCTCACTTAAAAAAGCCTGAATCCACACAGAAGCTTCCAAAACTAAAGCAAATATTCAGTAAAACAACTGACTGATGTGTGATTAAGATGAAAGTCAAAGAAAGGACCCCTTTGTCTGTGTGTGTGTGTGTTTGTGTGTACGGCTGATTCCTCCGTCCTTCACTCACCTCCATGACGAACTGACCGGAGTACGTGCCGGTCATGGTGGAGCTCTGACCAGCTGCAAGGATCCCCACGGCCCAGATGTAGAGCGCGGCCGGGCCAAAGAAGCAGCCGAGCACCACTCCCTGTGTCAGACACGCAAACAGAGAGTTACAAAACTCCAACAGCGTTACATTCCCCAGAAAACAAGTGCACTCCTTCAGCGCTTCAATAAAAACAAGAGACACTGTGCTGGATAAAGCGAGGGACATCGTTAACATATAAACCTCACAATGTGAAATGTAAAGCTTCTGTAATCAATATTTTATATGATCAGTTGACACATCTACATCTCTGTGGGGCGTTGTCAGACGAAGGATTAGGTGTGTGAGAGTGTGTAGTAGGAAACAGGGTTATGTGGTCTGAGTGGAAATGTCTACGGGGGGAACTCTGTGTTAGTAGCTTGTAGCTGATGGAGCACAATTCATTTCATCTTCCTTTTTTAATCCTGTTATTCACTTTATTTACTATTACGCATTCTTAGCTATTTAGTTTTATTTTGTATGTATTTACATTAAAGTATGTCCACTGCCTTCCTTCCTTCCTTCTACTTACACAGCTATATATCATTTTACTGTATTTTACATGACTATATACTTATATGTAGTTCTAATTGTTGTTTTCTTGTCCATATTGAACGTCTATTGTTGTAATCCTTTAATGAAAACTCAAATAAAATAGGAATTGTTAAAAAAGGATAGTAAATATGAATACATTACTACAACCTTTGACAGAAATCCTGTGTTACTAACTGAAGTGCTTTATGGGAAGTGTAGAAGGTTGTGGAGCTTACTAATACTGTCAGAGTAACAGTTTTAAACTCACCCCTTTGTAGATGTCCACCTCTAGAGTTTCATTGTTCAGAGGGAACAGAGATGAATGAGGACTTCCAGATTGATTGCAGACAGTGTGCTGGAATTAAACACACACACACACATCTGTAGCACAGCAGCCGAAAGAAAACACACGTTGGATTATAAGAGCGGCTGCAGAGACACTCACCACCTCTTCGTTGGTGCGTCCATAGAAAGCCTCGGCGAAAACAGCCACCACAAACACGTTGATGAGGAAGGAGACGAACAGTGCGATGGTCGCCTCGATGAAGAAGTATTTGTTGGCCTCTTTCACTTCTTTCCTTTTCGACCGATCTACTTCTCGAGACTGAGGGAACATTTGGACACTTAAAGTTATAATACCGTATGTAACATTTATGCATTCAAATATCTATAAACACTCGGCCTATGTTATATATGTTAGCTGTGTTCTTCCATTATCCCAAATGTTTCCATTTCTCCTTTGTCCGTCCAACAGCGTGGGAGAAGCAGTGATTTTAAGGTGGAACTGGTTTATTCAGTGTTTTTTAGTGGTTTTAACTCAGCGGGGTCTCGTTTGTTTTGGAGGAAGGCGACCTCCTGTGGATAAGATATTACATTTATAGCTCCCGGTAGAAACCTTCTGAACCATGAACACTGAAGGAATCACTACTACTACATAACGTCACCAAACTATGTTTTATAATCTTATATATTGTTATTGTTTCGATGTGAGCGGCCGAAGTTACATATTGTACATATAAAGATTTACAGTTTCATACAGCTGATTAAAATAAAGGAGGGAAGCTGTATCCATCCAGCAGTTGATCGCACCTTGACAAGAGCAGAGTGGAGGTAAATGTTGTGAGGCATGATGACGGCTCCCACGATGCCGACGGCCTGAGCCAGCTGAACGGGCCCGCAGCCCTCGCAGTACGGCACAAACATCCCCTTCAGTAGCTCGCCTTGGTCTGGCCTCACCGTCACATACTGGAAGAGAGGAGGCAGTGCATGAGCAGACAGTTTTCACATGCAGAAGGAATCAATAAGATCCACAGTGTAACCAGTAGAGACAATGTAATATAGAATGACACCCATAACAATGCAGGAAATGCTTGAAAATTAGACTTATGTTCTTGAATCAATTGCCCCAGTGCATGCTGGGAGGCTTCACAACACACCTACCTCATGTACCTGCAATCACATGATCACATGAGGAAGTTGTAGTAGATTATTTCCTGTGAATGTTGCATCAGAGGTGAGTTTTAGGAATCTTTCATACAGTTATCTATGGAAGGGGTTTAGGGCCACATGTGAACATTTTGGCGTTTCCTAGTGGGGGTCAGGAACCAGTTACGTATGCAGATACATAAACATACCTCATATCCAAAGGTGATGGCCATGACAGTGATGAGCACACCAAAGAAGGCTTCCAGCTTCCTCAGGCCTGCAGAAAAACAGATGACATGCTTTATTTATCGTTGTTGTAGAGACATATTTCACAGTAAGTTGATGTAAAACACGTGAAGAGGCCACAACGTACCATACTTGTCCAAGAAGAGAAAGACGAAGGTGTCGATGATGGTGATGAGGACGCCAGCCCACAACGGGATCCTGCCAGGAAACACACACACACACACAAGTAATGAAGCCATTTTAAAGCGGCAAACGTTAAACGGACGTTGTATCTGTTCACGCCACCTGCCAGAGGAGAGAAGGTTGAAAGCGATGGCACAGCCGATGACCTCCTGCATGTCCGAGCCAATGATTGCCAGCTCCACCATCAACCACAGGATGACACGAGGCACCTGGACAGAGGACTCGGGGGTTAATGTTCGCAGATACATTTTAATGCTTAACACATTTTCTTACTATATAAAGCATTTCTACCTTTGTAAACACAAATATATTTAAACAAAAATTATCTGTAATTTCATCCATATTTGTGGCAAAAATTAATATTACAAACAAGAAACATTATTAAGCTGTTTACATGACCTGGAGATCAATATCATACTGTTTAACAGCCCAAAATGTTACACCCCTGCAACTCAAACGCAAAATGTCTGTTCTGGGCTACTGTAGAAACATGATGGACTCCATTAAAGGCGACCCGATAAAAAACGTCTGATTCTAAGGTTAAAAAAGGTGATTATACAGTAATGAAATCAAGATTATGTATATTATATTATATTTCTGCCATTAGATCCTCCTAAATGTTTCACACTAGACCTTTAAATACATTGAATAATACCCATTGATATATGATGTCCACACATGCATTGCATTATGGTCCCATCTTTACATCACTTTAACAAACATCTGATTTCTTCAGCTTTGCCTCCTTCAAACACACGAACAATCGAACGCACACTGAAGGGAATTGTTCCATTCATGTAGCTCCTGACATGTTTTCCTCACGTGTACAGCAGCGTCTTAAAATGTGTCAAGCTGAAATGCTCGAAAGAACAAAAGGGCTGATCACATGATTTTTAGCCATGTGGTTAACAGTTGCTCCAGGTATTAGGAAAACAGAGAGCTGGATTTAGAAATATATTCGCATGAATAATTCATTAAATAGATTCCACATTTTCTATCCTCACAGCTCACAATTAAGGTTTTAGATCATATAATCCGAGGATTAGGCTACTGTAACAACAGAGCTCAGTGTGGGTTATGCAATGAGGCAGTTACAGTAAACCAGGTCCACTTCAGCCTCTCAGTTTGCCGCAGAGACAACCTCAGTGGACCACTTTACAGCGAACGCAGTGAGCAGATATTAGACGTAAAAAGGAGGGAATCATCAACAGCTGAGAGTAGTAATGTCTCACAGTGCGGTACTGGCGGTTGCAGACTTCAGCCAGGTGCATCCCGGTGACGACGCCCAGCCGAGCCGCCAGACGCTGCAGCAGCAGGCCGATGATGGTGGCTCCCAGCAGCACCCAGAGGAGCTGACAGGACGAGAACACAGGCATCATCAGTTAATCAGCCGTCTCATGAGCTCAAATCATCCTGTCTAAAACTGGTGGAGAAGAGAAATTTGAGTTTCTGAACGTTTAGAAACTATTCAGGACATCTCAGATTCAAAATCACGCTGCTTCACCACCTTATCACCTTACCACCTTATTGTTTTTATGGGAGAGACCCACTAGTGGCAGAAATTACATATTGTACTTTTAACTCGTATCTCAAGATAACGGCTTTAAAAAGAAAAGCAAGCACGGCCGTTCCTGGTTTCCAAAGATCTTTACAAAAGCACGTCCTTTATCTCCAGTACATCCAGAATGAGTCACTTAGATTCATAAAAGCATCTTTTCCTTTCCAGTCCAGATTAAAACAAACTCTTTCCAGAGTATAAAATCTCCTGGTAAAGTTGAGGATATTCTGTCGCCTCAAACCTTCCCTGTGATCGCTCATTTTAAACAGCAATATAGCCACACACACAGAAGAGTCTGTTTAGTAATTGTTTGTTAAAAGTAACTCATTTTCAATCAATCAGAGCCAAGAAAGGAAGTTGATTGTTCATTCACAGGTTGTCAGGATCAGGGCTCAGTGTCAACATTCAGTCCGACTCTCATTCACTTTATTTCAAACCCTAATTAATTCAAGAATGTGTTTCCAGTTTTAGAAGGTCAAAGTTCACCTTTGTTAAAGTTTGACCTGCAGTATAGAGAGACTCTCTAATGTCCAGCCAATATGAGCGAGTGTGGAGCTGACTCATCCTCCAGGAACTGTCTGATGTTGGTTGCTGATAGTTATACGTTGGATTAATGGTTTAACAATGTGTGTATTGATTACTGGCAGTGGCTGATCAGGCTAATAATCAGCTAATTGTACTCAGTTCACGCAGTATGATAAATAAATGATGAATAAAAGTTACCTTGAAGCCAGCTTTAGCACCAGACTGCAGATCAGACTCGATGTTACCTGGGTCCAGGTAGGCTATGCTCATCAGAAACCCCGGCCCAGTGAAGGCCCACAGTTTACGGAGACTAATCCCCCACTGCAGGACAGAAAAATACAAACAATTCAACAATTAATACTGGAAATTAGCATCATGTCAGAGGATGTGAACCACTGGTACAGTACTACTGTAAATGACCGCAGTGTAAACAGTATGAATGTATAACGACTCGTGGTATCTTCATCTTGCCCACCCTTACTCTCAGTAAAGGTTTTTCCATGTATAATCAGGGATTACCTCGCTGTCCTCCTCGGGAACAGGGACCCTCTGGTCGAAGTAAGTGCTGGAAACAGGTTCATTATTGTGTTTCTGGAGGAAGACCGAGGGGGCCGAGACTTCGTGTGTGTGTGTGGTCTGGATCACTGCTTTCTCTTCCACCAGGTCATCAGCTCCAATACGACACAAACATAGAAAACCATTCACTTGAGGTAAAACACTGTGGGGAACTGCTGACACACGTTTATATGTGATATGAGTAACTGCACAGTGAAGAGGAAGTTACAGTTGATTGGCAGAACAAAGTCATTATTGTAAACAGCATTATTGTACGCTCCGATCTGATGAATATACTAATGAAATGATGTGTCTTTGGTACCAGGGTAACCGGTCTTAGAGCTCTAGGGGAATTTTCCTGAAGATAGATAAGAAATAAAATAATACAAACATAAAAAACTCAAATCTGAACCAGAAACTGGTGGTGCTTTGAGCTAAATGACAATGCTAACATGTTTAGCAGGTGCAAGGTTAATCATCCACTAATTAACACTAAATGCAAAGTACAGCCCGGGCTTACTTTTGCAGGTCTTTGACCCGAGGATGGCACCAAGATTCAAACATTCACAGCAATCCATGTGATAGGTGGCAACATATCCTGAGACCATGAATTTAGGGCTGCCCAAAGTGGGGCTCGGGGGCCAAAACTGTCCCGCCATGAGTTCCTCTTGTGAGGTAAAAATACTCTTTAAATATGTACCTAATTATTTTTAATAATCTGAGTCTTAGTTCGGTTAAGTTATTTTATTTGTACCAGTAAGTAGATATGGTTTGCAGTGAAAGGCCTTAAATTAAATGATAAAAGTGCTCCAGGCTCTAAAAATAAGGACTTATAGAGAACAATAAATAAGGTAGAAAAGCAGGTATAAAAGGAAACCTCGCTGCTGGAAACAAAGCCATTCTTTCTACATATTGGGACTATATATTCTACTTAAACTGACTGTGTAAAGGCCGGGAGTGGTCATTTAAAATGGTTATCCGCTGTAACTGTCTGCTGTACAGGGATTCTGGGATTGTGGGTCATCAGCCCACGAGACCATTTAACAATCTGATTGAGGGAGTTTCTGGTTCCCAAACCATCACAACAAGAAGGAAAGCACAACAGAACAAGGTCATCATGGTTTTGTCGATGTGGAAATAGGACAGAACCAACGCTGGTGGCCCTTTTTGTACACAGCTTCCCAGTTTTGAGTCAATAATTGTCCCGAGACATTTTAAAGACTGCACACATTCCACCGTCTGACCCTGGCGAAGATACTGACGCCTTGCGCAGGAAGTTCCTGGTGCCATTTTGCATCTTAACAATACAACAGGTGTTTGCTTTTGGCCCGCGGCCCAGCATTAAGTGTCAGTTTTCAGTCTTTCAAGGGAAAAAGTTTGGGCAATATCAGCGATTACTAACGTCATCAGAACTCATCCTCTGGTCTCATACTCTCACTCTGAATAATACACACAGATACATTACTAACAGGGAGAGACTGATTTATTTATCCAATTGCAGATGTCATAGTGGCTCTGTGACAGCAGCATTATGGGTAGTTGGACTGACAACGTCAGACAGTGTCTTTCAAAACTGTACACCTCTTAGGACAGCTTGCATTCAAAAAGCACAACATTTCCCTCTGAACTGTAGTAGATTGGAAATATAAAAGTAGCATAAAATGTAAATTCTCATAAAATTGCACTAACCTACGTTCACATTACTTGAGTAAATGTATTTAGTTACACTCCACTGCTACTTATTCTAAATTCTGGCACCAAGATTTACATTTATACTGCAAATCGGTTTCCTTGATTACTAATAACCTGTATCTGTATCGGCCCTGTATTGTCCTGGTTTAAGGACAAGCTGTTGTTCCCAGCCGCTGTGATGAGCCCGAACAAAAACCAAAAGTGTCTACAAAACAAACGCTCCTCACCTCGTCCTCCCGTCGGTTGCTGCTGCTGATCTGTGGGAAAACTGGGAGGCAGCGAGGAGATGTGGATGTTCTCAGGAGGGGGGTCTCTGACTGGAGGCAAACAGGTAATTATACTGAGATTACAACCACTTACATGATCACACACACACAGAACTAAATCCTTCACACACACACAGAACTATGAGAAAACAGTGAGCGGATGATCTTCAGGTGTCTGTTGGGTTCCCCACCGAACCCCCAGTACACAGACAGCTTCATTATGTCCCCACATTGATCTATTAATTAATCAGAAAGATCATTTGTTGATCAATCGAGAGTCCACGAGCGGCACAGGGTGGAATGTAACTGAGTACATTTACTCAAGTACTTTATGTTACTTTATTCTTCATTTTAAAAGTAAAATATTGTACTTTTCTACATTCATTATGGACAACTTTAGTTTTAGTTATTGATAAAAATATATATAATCAACAAATAAATGATGTATTTGTACAGATTAAGTTGCTCAGCAGTAAGTAAAGTAGTACAAGCTGCAACATTAAAGTGATAAACACATCAATGCATCAATAGTTATAATCCATTAATATAGTATCTCGTTCTTTATTTGAAGCTAAAGCTGTCAGATAAATGTTGTGGAGTCAAAGTAGAAAGTTAAGTTCCTCAATAAATGTGCTTAGTTGTTTCCTGTAAGAATATTATGGGATATAAAATTATATTACAGGAAATTATAAACATGATGAGGTCAGTTCGAACTCTGTGATACCGTAAATCTTAAGTACTAAAAAATAGAAGTACCCACGATCCCATGTACCCATGACCCACAAAGAAGATAAAGATAAAAATCACAATAAAATACAATAAATAAATAATAATAATTATTATTATTCCAGTCTGTCCTCATTATCTGTTTGTTCCAGGATTATTTTGTTTTTTATTTTTATTTTTTCTTATATGTAAGTTTATGGAAACATAAATAAAGAGAATAACTTAATATCTATACTGTGTTATTATACAGTTATATTTATGTATAATGTCTCACACTCACATTATTAAGATTATATTACACCTGTAGTGTATCAATCACATCTGTATATAAAAAGCTGTATATAGTGTACAAATAATTTTTATTTTATTTTTATCTATTTAATATCTATATGTACATTTCTATTCTGTTTCTATTGGTTCATTTTCTATCTGTTGTGTTGTAGCCAGTGAACTTCCCCAGTGTGGGATCAATAAAGTCTTTATTATATTATATTATATCATATTATCTTAAGAAAAGAGAGGGGGAGGGATAAACTGTAAAATATATTTACAGACTTTTACTGTAAATTCACAGTAATTATTTTACAGTAATATAGATAAAAATCATAGAATTGTGTTGCTACAGTAATCAGTCATATTAAGAATATTATATATTTATAGATATACTGTAAAATATTACAATATTTTGATATAAAATTACAATATATTGTAAAATCTGCCTGTAATATTAAAATAATTACCAATCATGCATTGCAAAAACCTCATTACAGTAGTTTATTGTGAGAATTTAAACTGTTTATTAATAATAAAGTAACTGATAAACAGTTTGTATAGGTTTGAGTTGTACTGCAGGTAGCTTTAATGTGTGAGGGCGTAACCAGGGAATAAACATTTCCCACAATTATATTATGTTTATGAAAAGTGCACATTTAAAAAGTAGTTTTAAAGACAATATTGCCATGGAAATAAACAGGAAATAAGAAGGGACAGCGCTGTATATTGTTGTGTTTATATCCTAGTTAATGTGACTAACAGTACTTGAGTAAATATTACTTCATACCCTAGTTAAAATGTTATTAAATAAAAATATCAGGGGACATTTTAGGGCTGCAGACACTGTAAAAACATCATATTGTGATTATTGTGTCAGATATGAGTCACACTGTCTGTGTAAGTGATGATTTCACTTAAAATTAAAGATTCAAATCATAATAAAGTGAATTAATAGAACAGGATATATAATCAGGACTTTCATAATAAAGCTGTTTTGTCACATTTCACTTCTGCCACCTGCAGGTTGCACTTGATACATGGACGATATCGGTAATAAATCGATTAACTGTGATTATTATTGTATTAATTAAACACGTGAACTCACCTGAGCGCAGGAAGGAAAACATCTTCTCCTGATACAGAAACCGAACTCAACCGAACCGGGTCACACTCATTCACAGCATCAACCGGTGATATGATTCATTCTCTCTCTCTGCTCGCTTCCCTGTTTCCTCTGAGCTTCATGGAGCAGGAACATCCGGGCAGGTTGGACCGGACTGAAGGTGGACTCACCTGACAGGTAAGGGAGGGAGGGGGGAGGAAGGGGAAACTACCTGAAGACAAAGTCACACAACAACAGGAATGTTTAACAAGTGGACCCGTTGTCGCTCCTGTTTCTGTCACGTGACTCGGTTTTAACAGTCTGGGCTGATTCCGGACCAGCAGACCGGCGGGCTTTCAAAATAAAATACATACAAAGCTTTTTTTTTTCTTTTAACATGTTTTAATGTTAAATGCACTCATAAAGAAGTATGTTTATTCCCTTGTTCATTAACTTCATGTTAACTGTGTGAATATAAGGGTTTAGGTTGGTCCCTTTCAAAATAAAAGCCTCAGACTATAAATCAGAATCAGCTTTATTGGACAAGTTTGTGTACACACACACAAGTTAATGTACTGTAGACAACAAAGCTGAAAAAAGGCATAAACATAGACCTATATATAGGTGAGAATAGGTGTATAGGCAAGCAACAATTACCAACAACATAATGTCTGTATACAAGTGTTTCTTTAAAGTGTAAACAAAACAAATAGTGCAAAGAAATAAATATTTGATGTATATACATGCAAACATGTTTAAAAATTAACCCTATATTATATATATATATATATAGTTATATATAGATAATTAACTGTTTATATCTGGTTCAAGACCATTTGTGCTCTGAAATAAAGTGAAAATGACGGTTCATTAATAAATTATCTTTAAGGTTTGTTTGTATTATTAGCAGTGTTGGAAAGTAACTTTTAAGGTACTTTACTTTAGTATTGTGTTCTGCCACAACAATTTAAAGCCAAATATTATAGGATAGTTTACTAACAATGGATCCTCCTCAATGTGACACACTGGAGCTTTAAAATACTGGAATCAGCCTCTAATATACCCACCGTGTGTTCCTTTAACTCCATTTAAAAACCTCCAATTCACAGAAAAAACAACAACAGAGGACATTAACTCAAATGTTCCTATTAAAGCAGCTAAATAAACAACAAAAATCTAAATATCTATGTTGTTCTCTCCATACAAATAAAGGAGAGATGATGAGAAGATTTAAAAACTTACCAGCCGTCTCATGGTGACGCTCTGCAGGTATTTGTACGCCCCCCCAGCAGCACAAAGGTTTTTATGTCCCTCAGAGGAATGAAGCAGTTTCATGTTGAGGTGAGTGGGTGAACAGAGCAGGAGCCGCCACCGGGGGGCGACAAACACTGACTGATCCTCACCCAGGAGGACCTTTTGTTCAGTCACACACACAGCTGTCAGAGGGTTTGAAATGCAGGATTCAACCTGTGAGTTCAGGCCTTTAAAACT